AGATCTAACCTACTTTGTGTCCGCACCCACCTCGTGTCAGAAGCGTAACCCTCCGGGGAACAGCCCTTTGCAGATGTGGAGTATGAGCTGTGGGGCCAGGCTCCCTGGGTTCAGATTCTGGCCATGTGACCTGGGAAGGTAACCTCGGAATCCTGGGAAATAATAGTAAGCACCAGCCTCAGAACTGAGCGTGAAATACAGTCTTACTCATGCAGTGTTTAAACATGCCTGGCGTATGTGAATATTGCTGTTTCTAGCACACACGCTAGGTTTTTTTATTGCATCACATTTTTAAGATAGCAGCCAGCCCTGTGCTTGGACATCTCACTAAAACACCGGGAATGTTTTTTATCTGTCTCCACCTTCCCACGAGCACTGGGCTAATTCTTTGAGCACAAAGTGTACTAAAGCCACAGTGGGCTGGCCGAGGACATGGGGAGGGTACTGGAGGCTCTGGGACTCGGAAGACCCGTAGGTGAGAGGGTCGGAGCCATTCCGCTGAGTCTCAGCACCAATTTGTTTCCCAAAGAAACTTTCAGCCACGGTGACCCCTATGCTCTCCTTCTTTCCTGCCCTGGCGCCCTGGCTGGGCAGTGATGCCTGGGGGGTTGGGGGGGGCGGGTGAGGATCCCCGCTATTTCTCTGCTCCTTAAGCCAAGCTTCATCCAAGGAGGTTTCCAGCAGCCCCTCTGAGGCCCGCAGCGGCCCCTCTAACACGTAGATTCCGTGAACACTAGGAGCATAGGGAAAAGGGATTCGTATCTCTCCCATGTTTTTTGGGTCCTTTATTTGTACCAGAGAAGCCACCCCAAATCTTTTCACGTTCAGGGCCAGTGTTAGGAAGGGAAGAATCTGATGGCAGACCCTGTAAACCTGGTGACAGGACCCAGTGGGGTCTTCCCAACATATCCACCTCATGCTGAGCCTGATTCGCCGACACAGTACCTTTATCTCCCCCTTTGATCTGCCTGTTTTAGACTTGGATTCCCTCTATTTATTTATCGGGGGCACGGGGGGCTTATAAATCATTTGTTCTTGGCACCTACAAGAATAGAGCATCATCATAGTCAAAGTCACCACGTACTGGTTTCTTACTAGATGCTCAGTAACTTGTGCACACTCTCCTATTTGCTCTTTACAACAACCTGCAGAGAAAGGGGGATGGTATTGCTCCGTCTGACAGAGGGCACCAGAGGACACTCAGAGGGAACCAGGGGGCACTCAGAGGGTCCCAGAGGGCAAGGAGCGCGTCTGACCACACAGTTAGTGATGAGGAAATGTGGGATTACACACCAAGTCCCTCCTTTAAAAGGCGCGCTCTTGCCCACGGGACTGCTGCCCCTAGAAGAATCAGGGTGAGCAGGACAGGGAGAGGGGTCACCCCATTTTGGAGCTGCCACCCCAGCTCCACACTCTCCTGCTCCCAGGCCTTTCTCTCCCCTCCATCAAGATACCACATGACTCTCTGCATCTCCAAGGTCAGCCCCATGGCATTCCTTCTGTGTCGCTGGACAGACCGCCTATTGGGCACAGCCATTTCCCAGCTCACACCACCAACCCCTGCAGGACCCCGCGGCGGCCTCTCACAGTGATGGCCGAGGCCATGCTAAATATATCTGAGCACTCACCCAGGTGAAATTCCTTCCTGAAGGCTGGAGGCGGGGTGGGAGGTGCTGGCCTCACTGTGTAGATGAGGAGAGAGCTTTACTGACTCAGTGAATGGCTTAGCTGCGTCCTGAGGCATGGGTTTTTCAGAACCTATTCCAGGGTATGGTCTCATGAAACATACCAAGTGTGTCTGGTGATAAGTTCCATGCAAATGTAAGGCCTTTGTAGCTGGCGAGGAGTTACCTGGGACAGCCTTGCCACAGCGAGGGTTTGTACCTGTCTCCCCCGTGGTCCTATGGCCCCATAGCCCCATAGATAGCAGCCAAGAGCTCTGCATCCCCTGCTCCTTGGCCCCTTGCCTGGACTCCTCGTCCTTACCTGTGAAAGTGCCAGTGACATCTGACGCATGCTCCCTGGGGCAGGTGGACCCCCCCCTCCCCGCACCGTGAGAGAGCAGCTGCAGGTGGAGGGGGTACCTGCATCAAGGCAGGCAGCCCCCCTGTAGAAGCAGAAGTTCACGTTCGGGCATTATTTCTTGGTGGCTGGCATTTTGCCACTGACACCTGGCAAGTCTCATCCTGCCCATACCCTGTGCCCTAGCCAGCTCCTCCTGGTAAACGAGGAGATCAGGCAGCCTGGCACCTGAGGCTGCTGAGGGTAGAAGGTGCCATTGGGAGTAGAAGGCGTGCCCATCAGCCCTCTCTGGCCTCCGCACCCTCACCCATGGGAAAGGTCTTTCTAGGGGAAAGAGAATCCTAAGAAAGAGAAAACAGGGTGAGACCTACCATCCTTTACCGTGGGAGACAGCTTGCATGCCTGCCATCTCTGCCCATGCGGCTGAGAGGTATCAGCTCCCTCCCCCAATGGAGAGTTAAGCTTCTTGCTCTGCATCCTGGGAAATTCTGAAGCCACAGAGCATGATTTGATGCTCCCTTGCTGCTCACTCTAAATATGAGGGTTGTACCTGGTCCTGTTCGGGCTTTTGGGGGGCCTCCAGGAGTGATTCAGGATCCCCTGTGGAAGGTGCTTATGTATTGGTGGCAGGTCCTTGGACCAAGATGGCTTGAAAGCTAGTGAGTCCTGGAAAGAGACTGACACGCCACCCACCCCCACCCCCAGGTGCCTCATCAAAGGGAGATGAGGTTTATTAACAGGGACCCTAGACATGGAGAGGTCCCCGGAGATCCTGCAGAAGGGGGCTCAGGCAGCTCTCCCATCCCAGCGTGGGAGGAGAGGTGAGAGGAAGTACGCACAGCCCTCATGCCCACTGCGCAGGCTCCTGCAGAGACACGGGGCTGGGAGCACATGCTTCCTCCCTGAGTGAGTCTGTCTGCCCTTAGCACTGGAAACTTTAGCCCTTGCCTTGGTCCTGCAGGCCTTGACCGTGCACTGTAGTTCCCGTTACTCCTCGACCAGAGGAAAGGGAATGAACCGCCTTCTAATTGTGACCTTAGACACAGCAGAGGCTCCTACCCTTCCAGCAACTCGCTCTCCCCCTGTAATGTGTTTCCTGCCCACCTGCCCCTGTGCGCCAGCATCAACTCCAGCCCCTCTCTCTGTTCGCCTGTGAGCCGCCCGGAAGCAAAGAACTTTTCACCCACCAAATAGAAGAGTCACTTTAGCTAGGAGACCAAGGAAACGGAAACAAGTTCCTGACAGTGAAGGCTGAGACCCTGACGAGAGACGACCCCTGTGTCCCAAGGAAGGACAGTTGTTGACACTAATATCTGTATGTTTCTGTCCCTGCAGCCTTAGGAAAATCCAAAGGTACAGTATCCTGGGGTAGCTGCAGGCCACGTTCAGTCTGAACGCCGAGCGCACTGCGCCTCGGCGAGCTCTGCGAGGGGATGTGTGTGTGGTTGCTTGGCCGACGGACTTGAGGTGACTGTTCCCATCCTTGAAGTGGGACCTGAGCCTAGGGAGGCCGCCGGCACCATCAGCCCGCCCTGCAGGGTAGGCAGGCGGGCGTGGCCTGCGGACGCACAGCTTGGCCGGTGCCAGGCCAGCACCGGGTCCTGCTGACTCTGCTCCGTGCTCTGGACGGCAAGTGATAGAAAGGATGGCTGTTCAGGTGTCTCCTGAGGCCGGTGCCTGGTTCTGGTCTCATGCTGCCCTTGTCCCTGTCCTGCTCCCCTGCGTCTCCCACCTGGGAGGAGCGAATGCCCCCAGAGAGGCCGCATTCGCACTGACAGCAGCTGCTTTGGCAGAGGGTGAAGCGCAGCTGCCAGCTGGGGCGAGGCCGGCCGGCGGGCGGGGGGCTCCAGGAGTGGCCTGGCCGTCAGGGGAGCCCTGCCTGTCCTCCTCGCTCCCCTGGGCCCAGGAGGGTGCTAAGGCTGCGCTGCTGTTCTGACACCCACCTGCTTGAATGTGTCTGCTTCGTGGGGGAGGGGCGCCGTCTGTCACGCACGGGTAAGCACGTGTCTTTGTGTCCCTCACCAGCATGGGCGTGAGGGTGATGGACACGTCCTGGGTGGCGCGAAGAGGCTCGTCGTCGGCAGGCCGGAAAGGGTGGAGCAGCCCCCAGAGGACCCCGTGGTGCCCTCGCTTTCTCCATCCGGCCTGGGCCTCCAGCCTGGGGCCGAGCGGACCAGGTAAGCGCGGGCAGGTTCACTGCCCCACCTCCGGCCTCCTGGAAGT